ATTATCCTCCTTTTCAGGTCATGGGGGTCACTGGTGCACATGTCCAGCTATCACTGAGCAAGAGGCGAGGGACACATCAAGACAAACAAGACAAACAACCATTTACTCTCTCACTCACACCTAGGGACAATTAGAGTTACCAATCAGCCTAACATGCATGTTTTTGGTCTGATGGAGGAAACCAGGGTACCAGGAGAAAATGCATGTATGCACTGAGAGAACATCACTCGGAAAAGTCCCGGGACAGGATTTGATCCGGTGACTTTCACGCTGAGAGGCAACAGCTCTATTAACTGAGCCACCGTGCCACCCACAAAATTGAAACAAAACTTTGACGAAATAGTTACCAGAAACACTAAAGGTGCATTTAAAAAAAGACTATTGTGAAAAAAAATTTAAAATGCCAATCACTTCAGAAAGTGTTTGCCTCAGGTGGAGGAGTTTATCTGGGCATCTAGTTTGTGAGTGATGGTAGGATGGAGCGGGAGATGGATCGACAGATTGGGGCCTCATCCTCAGTAATGAGGGCATTGCTTTGGTCTGACATGGTGAAGAAAAGAGGTAAGTCAAAAGGCAAAGCTCTTGGTTTTCTGGTCTTTCTACATCCCAGCCCTCACCTGTGCTCATGAGGTTTGGATCATGACCGAAAGAACGAGATCCCGGATACAAGTAGCTGAAATTAGCTTCTTCACAGGGTGGCTGGACTCAGCCTTAGAGATACGGTGAGGAGCTTCGTCATCTGGGGGGAGCTCGGAGTAGAGCCGCTGCTCCTCCACATCAAAAGAAGTCAGTTGAGGTGGTCATGGCATCTGATTATATGCCTTCTGGACGCCTCCTTTTAGAGGTTTACCAGGCACGCCCCATTTGTGGGAAGCCCCAAAGAAGACCCAGAAGTTGCTGGAGGGATTGTGTATCTTCTCTGGTCTGGGAACGTCTCGGGGTCCTCCAGAACAAGCTGGGAAGTGGTCCTGGGGAGAGAAATGTCCAGGTTTCTATCCTGGACCTGTTGCCTCCATGACCCGACAACAGATAAGTGGTAGAAGATGGATGGACTTCAGAAAGTGAAACTTATATACAGGTCCTTCTCAAAAAATTAGCCTATTGTGATAAAGGTCATTATTTTCCATAATGTAATGATAAAAATGAAACTTTCATATATTTCAGATCCATTGCACACCAACTGAAATATTTCAGGTCTTTAATTGTTTTAATACTGATGATTATGGCATACAGCTCATGAAAACCCAAAATGCCTGTCCCAAAAAATTAGCATATCATGAAAAGGTTCTCTAAACAAGCTATTAACCTAACCATCTGAATCAACGACGTAACTCTAAACACCTGCAAAAGATTCCTGAGGCTTTTAAAAACTCCCAGCCTTGTTCATTACTCAAAACCGCAATCATGGGTAAGACTGCCGACCTGACTGCTGTCCAGAAGGCCATCATTGACACCCTCAAGCAAGAGGGTAAGACACAGAAGAAATTGCTGAACGAATGGGCTGTTCCCAGAGTGCTGTATCAAGGCACCTCAGTGGGAAGTCTGTGGGAAGGGAAAAGTGTGGCAGAAAACGCTGCACAACGAGAAGAGGTGACCGGACCCTGAGGAGGATTGTGGAGAAGGGCCGATTCCAGACCTTGGGGGACCTGCGGAAGCAGTGGACTTGAGTCTGGAGTAGAAACATCCAGAGCCACCGTGCACAGGCGTGTGCAGGAAATGGGCTACAGGTGCCGCATTCCCCAGGTCACGCCACTTTTGAACAAGAGACTGCGTCAGAAGCATCTCGCCTGAGACTGCTGCTGAGTGGTCCAAAGTTATGTTCTCTGATTACAGTAAATTTTCCATTTCCTTTGGAAATCAAGGTCCCAGAGTCTGGAGGAAGAAAGGAGACACAGAATTCACATTGCTTGAGGTCCAGTGTCAAGTTTCCACAGTCACTGGGGTGTCATGTCATCTGCTGGTGTTGGTCCACTGTGTTTTATCAAGGGCAGGGTCAATGCAGCTAGCTAGCAGGAGATTTTGGAGCACTTCATGCTTCCATCTGCTGAAAAGCTTTATGGAGATGAAGATTTCATTTTTCAGCACAACCTGGCACCTGCTCACAGTGCCAAAACCACTGGTAAATGGTTTACTGACCATGGTATTACTGTGCTCAATTGGCCTGCCAACTCTCCTGACCTGAACCCCATAGAGAACCTGTGGGATATTGTGAAGAGAAAGTTGAGAGACACAAGACCCAACACTCTGGATGAGCTTAAGGCCGCTATCGAAGCATCCTGGATCTCCATAACACCTCAGCAGTGCCACAGGCTGATTGCCTCCATGCCACGCCGCATTGAAGCAGTCATTCATGCAAAAGGATTCCCGACCAAGTATTGAGTGCATAACTGAACATGATTATTTGAAGGTTGGTGTTTTTTGTATTAAAAACACTTGTCTTTCATTGGTGGGATGAAATATGCTAATTTTTTGGGACAGGCATTTTGGGTTTTCATGAGCTGTATGCCATAATCATCAGTATTAAAACAATTAAAAGACCTGAAATATTTCAGTTGGTGTGCAATGAATCTGAAATATATGAAAGTTTCATTTTTATCATTACATTATGGAAAATAATGACCTTTATCACAATATGCTAATTTTATGAGAAGGACCTGTATAACACAGGTTTATTACACATACAGTGAAACATTTCAAGCCTTTATTTCTTGTATTTTTGACAAATATGACTTAAAAATAATGAAAAAGAAAAGGTGCCAAGTCTCGCTGGAAAATTAAATCAGCATTTCCATAAAGCTTGTCAGCAGAAAGAAGCATGAAGTCTCTAAAATGTCCTGGTAGATGCTGCATTGACTGTGGACTTCAGAAAACACAGTGGATTAACACCAGCAGAGGACATGGCCCCAAACCATCACTGACTGTGGAAACTTCACTCTGGACTTCAAGCAACGTGGATTCTGGATCTCTCCACTCTTCCTCCAGACTCTGGGACCTTAATTTCCAAATGACATGCAGAGTTTACTTTCATCTGAAAAGACGACATCGGACCACTGAGCAACAGTCCATTTCTTTCTCTCCTCAGCAGGTAAGATGCTTCTTACATCGTCTCTGGTTCAGGAGTGGCTCGACTTGAGGACTGAGACATTTTGTAGCTCATGTCTACGAGTTAATTCACTGGGTTGGGTGTGACACCAGGAGTTTACAATATTGAATCTCCACAATATTCTAATTTTCTGAGACACTGAATGTTGTTTTTTTCGTTATCTGTAAGCCATAGTCAACAATAAATAATGGCTTGAAATATTTCACTCTGCAGTGAATCTATGTAATATACGAGTTGCACTTTCTGAAATGATTTGATAAAAAAATTGAACTTTTTCATGATATTCTAATTTTATTTAGATGTATCTGTACATGTTATAGCTTGGCAACACAACAGAAGAAGAGGAGAAGAAGAGGTCACTCACCTATGGTGATGTAGACTGTGTCACTGTGTGGAGACGGACGATTGTTACCTCTGATCAGTACTGTGTAAAAACATCTCACTTCAACCTCAGCAAGTGAACTTTGCCTGGATATCCTCAGCAGATCAGTTCCTCTAAATGTCTCCTCACAAGAGTGAACTGTTTTAGTTACTCCGTTCACATAGAAAAAACACTGATGGACAGAAACAAATGATGGAGCCTCACAGGTCAATAAGACAGAGTCTGATTCTTTGATTACTGGTGGGAATACTCTCAGCTTAGCCTGAGGAAGAGCTGAAAATTTAGACAAAAGATAAAAGAGAGGATTAAATGCCCAATTGACAATTTGATATGGTAACATTATTGAGAAATTTTAGTTTTTAATTGTAGCAAAAACTAGTAAAATCGAAACATGGTGATAAATCATGATAGACAAAAACCAGACACTGACCTTGTGTTTGTATTAGAACAAAAAAGCCTGTTGGAAACATGTCAACAATATAAATACAAAACTTATTTATAATTTAACAAAAGTTTTTCTTTATAAAAATCATATTAATTTGGAAATTTCAGAGGTTGGAATCAAGATCAAGACAAGTGTCTCAACAACTTTCACTCGACTCTTTTCTCCCTCTTTAAATGAAACAAACAGCAGATAAGCAATAAAAAGAACTTCTAAATAAAATGACCTAATATAACATACAATATCAAATATTTTATAGAAGAAGAGATAACTTACACTTGAGGATGATGATAATTATGCAGCCAGCCATGACTGAGACAGCTCTTCAGAGAAGATGAGCGTCTGTGAGAAGGGGAACGTGTGATTCTGTTCTAAAGTTCACCACAGTGAGCATCAAAATAAACCACACGTAGGCCACTGACACACATCTTCAGCTGTCATGAAAAACCTTCACGTGTTCAAACATGGGAAGATGTTCAAATGCACATCAAATTCTGATTGTTTGATCAATTTTTCTGCATCTTCAGTTTTGTTAGATAAACTATGGTTTCTTCACCCTCAGGGTCTCAGTCTGCAGACTTGTGTGCACACACCAGTGAAACTCATTAGACTTTTTCACATCATTTTTTTTGTCTTATTCAAATTTTACTTCATGCAACTTTTGGTGGCCAAACCTGACAGCAAAAATAAACCATGCATATGACAGCATGTTCAAAGTCTGCCTGTTATGATGCTTTTTTATTGTCCATTGCTGAATACAGTAATGTGATGTCTAAATTAACTTTAATTATTAACTATTTTATGCATAATACTTTATTTATTCCCTCGTTTTTCATTTTCAATTGTAGGCCTACAGATGGAGCTAAAAGTGCTATTTTTTTTGCAGCTACCATATATGAAATATTTGAATTTTCTACCAAAGAAATTGTTATTTTCTGTCATGCTTTTGTTGTTTATGTTGTTGTTTACTGGTTGAAAAAGTCTGTCAAAACTGTGTCACGTGTAAATGTGGAAACGCAGCAGCCTTGCTTTACCTGTGGAGCTGAAAATCAATCAGCTGCTCATGAGACTCACCTGCTCTCCTTTCAGCGGAAGCACATGCTTAAAGTCAGTCATGACGCTTTTGCTCTTTTATCGCACTTTTTGCGTCTTTCTCCTACATTTGCGCGACAATGCCTCCTAAAAGAGCAGCCGCGCGTTCTGCTCCTCCTCCTCCACCACCGTCATCAAGCAGTGCTCGTGTGGAAGTTGGGGAGAAGAAATCTGGTATGGAAGCAGCAGTTTTAACAGAAATGCAATCAAACCTCTTCTTTTTGACGCAGTCTCGTCATCTTTCCGCAGACGCTGCGACGCTGCGCAAACTGACCTCTCATCCGCCCACCATCGTCATGGTGCGCGAGGCGCTTAAAGTTCTGGACTCGCGCAAAGGGGCTTCATCCCAAGCCATCCAGAAGTACATCAAGGTGAAGTACCCCTCAGCAGATGGCGTCAGGCTGAAGCACTTTGTCCGCAGAGCTCTGATAAAGGGGATTGAGAGCGGGGCTCTGGTGAGGCCCCCCAACTCCACCATCACTTCAGGTGCACTGGGACGATTCCGGGTAGGATGCTGGATTTATCCAACTGGGTTAAAGCTCATTAAGCTATGTGGTTTTAATTTTTTCTTTGTTTACAAGCTTCCACCAAAAATGGTCTCAAAGCCTAAAAGTGAGAACACTGATCCAAATGTGCCAAAAGCTCCAAAGGCAGCTAAAGATGAGGTTAAACGGCCACAAAAAGCAGGTAAGTGGAGGGAGAGGCCCAGCATTACTTGAAGGAATGCACATCACCCACCATATTTTGTGCCAGAGATTAGAAAATGACATGATTTTTAGTATATCTTGCATGATCCGTTAGCTCCAAGTATGTGCAGTGAACGACCGTCAGCTACTACCACACTACATTGTGAGTTTGTTAAAGCTGAGTCATCAGAATTTTTTTTCTATATGCTTGAGTGTCTTAGCTGTGGCGTTCATCTTGATTTGAATTAATTTCAAAAGGAATTGGTTGTAAATGGGATTTCGTTAATAAAAAAACAAATGTGCACAAACGCACTCTGTCATTGATGACAGGTGATTAATGATTGGTGGGTTTCTTTTTAGGTGGTGCTAAGAAGAACAGCACTGCAAGTGGAGAGGTGAAGCCTGCAGAGGTGAGATGGTGGAGGGATAATTCAGAAGTTTCCTGAGGATTTTTTTTTATATCTGTTATTGTGCCATAAACAGCCTTTTTATCTAACAGAATTGGTCAAATCAGTAGCTAAATATTGTGTAAAATGTAAATTTGCTTTAAACCTTGAAGGTTTGCTGATAATGCTCGTAAACATTAACCAGTTTGAGTATGTTGAACTGGCTTGGGTGGCGTACACCTGATTTTTTAAATTTTGTCTTTAGATGAAAGTTGATACTCCTACACTGTCAAATAATGCAGCATTTGCAATACTAATTGCACCATGTGACAAAAGAATCAGATAAGCTTTTATAATTGTACCGAACTACAGCGAGGTTTTGTTCGTACAGTCGTCCAAAAGATGGGCGGAGTGCACATTGCTGCTGCTACAGGAGCGCGGCCTCTTATCCTTTATCGGAATACTTTGTTTTAGATAGGAAAAAGTAAAGGGCCATGAGGATGGATAGTGGTATTACAAAAAAGATATTTTCACATCTTGTCCTATCAGGACACGAATTAAGACATCAAAAACCCTACCAGCATGCACATTTATAAACTTATTATGCATTTGACATTAAGAGATTTGTCCATGAAGCACTTCTAGATAGGCCATAGTCCTGATAAGATGTTTGTCAGCCTGCATAGAAGTTCTCGCCTTGAGCGAGTGCAGAATAACTGCAGGTTTTTAAAATGCCATGTTGAAGCGGTTCAAGGTGTTTGGCAAACATAGTCAAATGTCACAAACTGTACAAATCTTTCGGACAACAAAATATTAAGACTTTTTTTTTTTTTTTTAATGTTCATTAAATGCATCAGTGAGCACTTCATAAAAGGTCAATACAATTACAGTAGACAAATTTTAAAACTGTCAGGACCACTTCCTATTTTAGATGATAAATAAAAAATATATACTTAAGGTTTTATTTAAGCAGCTCTAGTTGATAAAATGTTGCAAATATAAAGTTTTGTGCAGGAGTATCAATTAGTTTGTTTTAATCCAGTTCTTATAAGCATGCTGTGCAAATGTATACATTTTATTTTTATTTTTAGGACCCGATGCCTCCCAGGAAGGCCAAGAAGGACGAAAAGCCTGCTCCTGTAAAGAAACCAAAGGCTAAAAAAGCTGAGGCAAACGGAAGTGAGGGGAGCTCTGACTCAACCAAAGCTAAAGCGACCGACTCTACTAAAGCAACAAAGACTACAAGGCCCAAAACTGCTAAAGCTTCTCAGGGTAAAGCTGTGAAGGCAGATGGTGATGCTCCTGTCGCTAAATCAGCAAAACAAAAGACAAAGTAAACTAATTTTTTTTTGTTTTTATACCGTTTTATTTTTTTCCAATAAAGTTACTTTTTTTTTTTTAATCTTCTGAAGCAGAATGTCTTCATTTCAGATGTTATGATTTTTGGTATTTTGTTGCATGTGGCATATTTGCTCTTAAACTGAAAGGTTTCAAATTGAAAATCTCTAAAAGTTGCTCATCAAGGATGAACCTGTTCTGTATATATTCTACAAAACTGTTCATTAAACATCCAGAGGTTAACCTCTTTATTCATTTTTAGGGTTTAAAGTGCAGTAAAATGACATCCCTGTACTTCCATAGGAAGTGGAAGACTGAAAAACGGAACTAAAAGCATTCGTCCAGAGGGTTTCAGCAGAATAACAGTGGGACATAAACACCAAGATGGCTGTCAAAACTGCTAAAAGCATGATTCATTTCTCGAGCGCTGTCCGTGGTATGGTCTCATCCCCCTCTGTGTGCATCACATGTTGCTGCTCCACCGTGCGGCATGAACGACAAACCTCAATCTCATACATGTATACCAGAGAAGGATTACAGATCAAGAATAATCTCATGGATTCAACTTCAGTTTGTCTGAAAATTGTTTTTCTCCAACTTTGAATTGGGTGTGTGCAAGCTTGTAAGGCACATGGGAAACCAGTCAAATCCGTTAATTGGGATTTTAACAATGTGGTTTGGTTTCCTATTTTATTTTTTTTACCTTTTTGTGCCAAGTTTTGTTTAAATACTCGCATGAAAATCAGTTTTCATGATACGCGTGCTCAATCTTCTCTTTAATGCTGTTCAGCTCCTCTTTCAAGTTTTGTAATTTCCTTCTGATAAAATTCAATCATGTCTGCGGGCTCCTGTTCCAAAGCATTACACCTGGAAAAAAATAGTGCATCAGAAAGGATGGATGGAGATGATTTCACGTATGATAATATGCTTTCATTTTTTTTTCTCTCTTCTAAAGCCCACAGGATCACCATATGGTCCCACTCATAGTTCATTTTAAAGATTTCCATGGATCTCTTAAAGATGCCGTTGGGCTTCCTGGGTCTCGTGGATCTCACTGAACACGGCATCAAGTCCCGTGGCCTCGTCATCGAAGCTATTCCTGGAGCTCTCAGGTTCTTCATCGGGAGTGTAGCAGTCGCTTCCTGTCCTGGACTACATCTCTCCTGGATCAGAAGTTGCACATCCTTCAGCTTCCCCATGAATTGCTTGCATGATTAAAGCTGCAGAAGTGCTTTCAGGAGAAAAGGGACATTTTTCAGTTTGAACTTGTAGAGAAAACCTAAAGGAAGCATGTCCCCTAGCTAAAGTTTTAAATTTCTATTTCTTTAAGACAATGAATATGTATCGCTGTTTTAAATGTCTAAGATCTCTGTGGAGATTTTAGTAATATCTGCACTTGATCTGAATTAAATGGTTCTAAAATAAACGTTTTAGCTTAAAATATCCTTTATATTCAAAAGTTGTACATGTAAGAAAGAAAAAAATAGTGTATGTATAATATCTATGAAAGTTTTAGTCTATGAAAAATATAGTAAAGCGATTTTAAAAAGCCCAATTATACAAAAACTTTGACTTTTCTGTTCACCAAATAAAAAGTTTCATTAAATGATCACCCATCATCTGATCCAACCAGCTAGACCTCCCACATGGTGGTGAAAAACGTGCACCCTCGCTTAGCACAAACAATAGTTGGGGTCAACATACATTCATTTAAAAGCAGCAGAACAATGTTTTTTCATTACTTATCTGGCAACACTTGTCATGGTCCAATTCAGGCCAACTCTGTTCCCACGATGTCTTAACTACTGCCTGAATACCAAAGAGTTTGGAAAAAGTTTAATTTAGGATTGCTTACATCGTTTCTTCATGTGATATTGTTAGAATAAAAGATAACTTTAAAAGAAGCTGTCTTGGAATGACTGATAAACTTTAAAATGCAAGGCAACAATGTGAGCACCTTGTCTGTGTGAACGATGCTAACTTTAATGGAGCTAACGGTAATTGTTAACTGTACATTCTGAATGCTAACTTTCTGTTTTTATCCAACAATTTTCAGTCAGGTCATCTGGACAGTTTCTTTTGGTTTGACTTGGTCAGACTTTTTTGGTTTCTGTTTATATGTTGCTGAGCAACAACAAAATACACGAACATATGGATTATAAGCAAACTTGGACATATTTGTCTTGTTTTATTGCCTATATGTTGTGATGTGCCGACTGTTTTGTGAAGTAAAAACACTAAAATAAGAAAACTTGAACCGGTCTATTAAAATGATTCTTTCCTTCATTTTGGGTCATGTTCGTTTATCATGTCTTTTGTCTCACCTGGCAACAGATGCTCTCCAACTCCAAACAATGAAGCTGCACCTCAGCCACATACTTTTTGTAGCCATCAACAAGCATCTGGTGTAAACATGGCGGTGTATTTGACCTTTTCTTGGCAGAACTGGTAGTTTAAGTTTATTATTTTTGTTTTCAGTTTATTCACACACAAAAAGAATCAGTGTGTGAATCAGGTCTCCAAAAAGCTATTTAAAGCTTATAGTCGGAGCCTGGGTACATATTACATACAACTGGTTAACTTAGCTTGTTTCCTGATGACTTAGCTCAAAGCTAGTTATTACAAAACTAGTTTCGATGTGTGCTGAAATTCATTGGAACACCTGATGGTGTCCATGTTTTAATAGCTACTGATGTGAGGTGACTTTGAAGGGCCTTCATATCCATTTTGAGAAATGCACCAGTACCACAGTATGATGCTACCACCGCCATGCTTCACAGTTGGTTCAGTGTTTAAAAGCTTAACATCTTGTTCTTGTGGCTGGAAAACTCAAGCGATAACTCCGTGTTTCTTGAGAAGACATTTGGCTTGTTCACATGGGCAGCTGCAGATTTCACTCGAGCTTGAAGGTGTTCCATTTTAGAGAAAGTGCCTTTTTTGTTTGTCAGCATCCTCACAGATGGAACTCCTGCTTCCTGTGGACAGACACTGGGGTTCCTGCTGTATGCGCTTCATGGCAGGTTGTTTCTGCACATACTGACCCTTTCATTTGATGGTGACCATTGGTCAAAGAGTTGTCAAATAGATTTAGTAAAATGAAATTTAAAAAAATCTATATGAATGCATTGTAATGAATTGTAGTTAGAACAAACTGTAAATTTAAATTTAAATCTGGATCTATTTTGTTTGTATAGTGTCCTGAAATGATTTCTGATGTAAAGTGGCACTACATACATTACACACACACATATATAT